ACGAAGATCCAGTGAATGGGTTTGCGTAAACCCACTTTAAGGTAAACGTACCTTTTGCCATACGTAGCGATAGGCTTTCTTTATGCCGCCTGTAAGTTTAAAGCCGATTAGTGATGCCGGTCGTTGGAATTCGCCGGGAGGACGCCAACTTCTGCGCCAGTGTCGACGAGGTAGCGGACTTTCGTTGTCACATCTGTGACGTATAATAGACTACTATGTTCGCCGGCTACGGTTGCCATTAACGTGTGCCGGCTTGGAAGTTTCCCGAGTTCTTTTTCGAGTCGGTCGGTTTTGAGTTGGGAAAATTGCAGGGTTTTCTGCAATTTCTGGAAGACTTTCCATACTTGTTACGATACCAGCACCAGTCGGGGTTATCCGTCTCTCGTGGTCTTGAGACAGATCGCTTACGGGAAGTGCTTCTACGTGGTGTGTGTGATCGCTTACGGCCGTTACGAAAATTAAGATAACGCGTAATGTATGACGTAACTCTTTTATGTTATTCTGGGTCGTTTGAGGCTTTTTTTGACTGAAAAATTTCGGTGTTGGAAGATTTCGTGATTTCTAAAATGCGGTCGGCAGATGCAGCCAGCTCGTCTAAAGCGTTTTACTGGAACGAGACCAGCACAGCTTGCACCTGTTGAGGTAGTTTCGACAAGAAAAGTTGTTAAATAGGCCATCATTGATAGTCCTTTGGTCGATAACCTCTCTCATTCGTTGTAACATGTCCGTCGCACAACCGTGTTGCAGGTCGATGTTATTGAGGAGTTGGTCTAGCCTTTGTCTATCGGTTAGGTCTCCGCGTTTAAAGAGAGATCGTTTCAGTGTTTCGTAAGGTTCAGAAACATCACTAGCAAACATACCTCGTCGACACTGGCGCAGAAGTTGGCGTCCTCCCGGCGAATTCCAACGACCGGCATCACTAATCGGCTTTAAACTTACAGGCGGCATAAAGAAAGCCTATCGCTACGTATGGCAAAAGGTACGTTTACCTTAAAGTGGGTTTACGCAAACCCATTCACTGGATCTTCGTTGTTGCAGATGTTTCTATGCCAATCGTTGGTATGAACCTTCTACAACACCATAATCCGATCATCGATACTCGCAAACGGAGGCTAGTGGACGGAAACACTAATTTATCCGTTTGCGTAACTTCTTTTTCTGGTTGCAGATTATCCCCAGTCACAATTAAGCATACGATAGACCTACTCTATCAACCACTACTCGATAAGTATCCTGGGATACACCAAACGCAACCGAAATTGCCGTGTGTAACCAGCGTTACGCATCACATCACGACTACATGACCACCTGTATTCTCGAAATCTGGCCGACTAACTCCTGGAAAGCTGAGGTTGATCAAAAATGAATTCGATCACATGACAGACTTAGACGTCGTACAACCGTCAAATAGCCCATGGGCATCTGCATTGCATACGGTCCCTAAAATGGACAGCAACGATTGGCGTCCAACTGGTGACTATCGGCTATTGAATGCGCAAAGCATTCCCGATCGTTACCCGTTGCCTCACATTCACGATTTGACGGCTACCTTGTAAGGTACAACTGTCTTTTCGAAAACCAACTTGGTTAAAGCATATAACCAAATCCCTATGGTTACAGATGATATACCAAAAGCCGCTATCATTTTTCTCTTTGGACTCTATGAATTTTGGCGAATGCCTTTAGGCCTAAGAAATGCTGCCCAAACATCCCAAAGGTTCATAGACGACGTTTTCGAGGTCTCAACTTCGTACACGCGTATGTTGACGACTGCCTTATCGCAAGTCCGGACAGAGAATCGCATCTCAACATCTGGATCTTGTTTTCGACCGACTGCAAAAACATGGCATAACTGTAAACGTTCGGAAATGCCAATTAGGAACCGACTCATTAAACTTCCTAGGACACACTATAGATGCTCAAGGCATCCGACCCCTTAGGACCAAAGTGTCGGCAATTCTGAATTACCCAGAGCCGAACAACGTCAAGCAATTACGCACGTTTAACGGCCTGGTAAGTTTCTATAGACGTTTCATACCGAAATGCGCGTTACTCATGAAACCTCTTACCGACCAACTTCGTGGAAACGCGAAATCCATCAATCTGGACGACACCGCACTAAAAGCACTTTCCACAATTAAGGAACTTATCGCTAAAGCAACAATGCTTGCTCATCAGTACACCGAAGCACACATTAGCATCGTGGTAGACGCATCCGACTCGGCAATCGGAGGAGTCTTACAACATTGGATTAACAACTCCTGGCAACAATTGGCATTTTTCTCTAGACGGTTGCTAGACACTGAATCGAGGTAAAACACATTCGGTAGGAAACTACTAGCTATGTTTTGTGCTGTACGACATTTTCAACATTATATCGAAGGCCGTGAATGTACCCTTTTCACTGACCATAAACCGCTTACCTTCTCGTTAAGCTCTTTTCTAAACAAGTACTCACCTCGTGAATATCGACAATTAGACTACATTTCGCAGTTTACTTCAGATATTCAACACATTTCTAGAGCAAACAATGTAGTTGCAGACGCTTTGTCTCGAATAACTTCCTTGAACAATTTCCAAGGAATCGACCTTCTAAAACTCGCCCAGCTTCAGAAGGAAGACACTGATCTTCAGCACGAGTTATCGTCTACAACCCTCAAACTACGCTTCAAACACATGGGAACATGTAAGGAAACCTTACTTTGTGACACATCTACGGGTAGGGATCGCCCAATCCTGCCGAAACGTTGTCGACACGACGTCTTCAATAGGTTGCACAAACTTTCTCATCCAGGTGTTCGTGCAACCATTCAGCTTATAGCAGAACGGTTTTGCTGGCCTGGCATGAATAAAGACGTGAGGGAGTGGGCACGCTCCTGTGTAAGCTGCCAAAAATCTAAGGTTATCAGACACAATAAATCCCCCTTAGGCTCATTTAAAACTCCCGATGCTCGTTTCGACCATGTTCATCTGGATTTGGTAGGACCGTTACCAGATTCAAATGGATACTCTTATCTCTTAACCTGCGTAGACCGTTTCACTCGATGGCCAGAAGCAGTACCTATCAATGACATCACTGCTGAAACAGTGGCCCGCACATTCGTCGAACGATGGGTAGCAAACTTCGGTTGCCCTTCAACCATCACCACAGACCGCGGACGTCAGTTTGAATCTGATCTTTCCCGTCGTCTGACCACACTATTAAGAAGCACTCGCTTCCGAACGACTGCCTACCACCCACAAGCAAACGGGTTGGTAGAACGTTTTCATCGACAATTAAAAGCCTCACTACCAGCTGCAAACGTTTCACAGTGGGCCGACGCTCTTCCACTCGTCTTACTAGGTATTCGCAATGCAGTGAAAGCTGACATTGCGTACACTGCAGCCTAACTGGTTTATGGAACGACACTTCGACTTCCAGGAGAATTCGTGGATCCTTCGATCTCTTCAATGAACATGGATCTAAACTCCTACACGAACAGGCTCACAAACGCAATGCGTTCAGTTAAACCTGTTTCCACTCGACCCCAATCAACTGATGTTTCCGTTCAACCTGACTTACGATATAGTACACACGTCTTCGTACTTCGAGAGTCGCATCGACGACCTTTCGGATCCGCATACGAAGGACCTTTCTAAGTCCTTCAACGCGAACCGAAGTACTATATAATCGATAGGAACGGAACCAACGATAGCATTATCATCGATCGCCTCAAAGCAGCGTATTTAGAGGGAGATCCTATCTACGTCGATTTTCCTCCGGTACAATCGAACCAACACGCACGATGATACTTCGACAGTATCTGAAAGTAAACTTAAAACAACGCGTTCTGGAAGAAGAGCAAGATTTTTAAAACATTTAAATGACTGTTGCACGTAAGACACTAGTTGACATTTTGTTTCATCTTGATTTTCCATGGCATTATATGTATCATTTGGCTAATATGTATATTAAAAAGATTTTTAAAAAAACATTCTGTAAAAATCGCTTTTACGTTATTTACACTTTTTCGCCCATTTTGTGTCTTAAAGCGCGTACGAGTTTATTTCGACATGCACTTACATATTCTTTCTTTTCTTTTCCAGGACGGCTGGGCAAAACGATAAAAAGAACGATGATGTTTACGAGGAACCAAAAATTCTCATTGTACATTATTTTAACTATATTGTATTTCATGGTCCCTAATAGTAAGGAAAGACGACCAGACGCTGCTAAACCTAGCAAGCTATCAGAAGACTATTTACCTACGACAAAACTCGTTGGGTTTAAACTTCTGGCTGGCCACGTCTTGGGGTCATCACTACACTACTAGGGGGGAGTGATCTGTAGCGGTAAATAAATCCCCAAAATAAATAGCTCTGTAAATTTTCAACATTGGATGCTGACCACATTAGTCTTACTGGGCTGGACTGTATATTATTGCTTTTGAAGATGCCACAAGTATTCAGTGTTTGACAACGCTTTAACCAGTAACACCTAATACAACTCATACCCACCAAGAGAAATCAAGATACAAAAGCGAGGAGGTTAGAAGATATATTTGATAGACTATCAATTTATCGCGGATCGACTTATCGAATCTGGCTAGCGATTGCGGTAGGTGTTGAGCACGGCGTTCCCACTCGTGATCTGGTGCGGATGCATGACCGAGCGCCTTCAGCTAGGTGAGCCCAGTAAGACTAATGTGGTCAGCATCCAATGTCGAAGACTTACAGGACTATTGATTTTGAGGATTTTTTTACCATCACAAATCGATCAGGCTCTGGAAAGTGATGAAACAAGTACAATTTTGCCATGTATATAGTTAACAAAACATTTACAACGATAAAAACTTATGAGCGAAGTATACGGTGCTTAATTAGATATTCACTTGACTTGAATATAGAGCAATACTTATCATCACAGATTACATCGAGAATTTACGTTAATTTACATCTTGAAAGAGAATTGTAATCATCATAGTACCATGAATACTGCTTACAAGAACAGTGCGCGAAGTCTTTCTTGTCGTTACTTTGTTTATCCTACAAAGTCGATGATTGGTTCTGTGTAGATCATCTAATTGATTGGTACGAAAGGTTGTGTTGTTGTCGTTATTTCACATAATGCCTCTAAGTCACTTATTTTCTTAGTAATTGGCTACGTGTTGTAAATTTTTTATGATATATCTGAGCAGAAGGAAATTTTCCTCTCCAAGCCTCGTTTGTAACACTGCATGAGCTCTGAGTCTTCTAATTCAAGTCGCTATTTTGGGAGAAGTTTGGCGTCTTTTGGGTAGATTTAGGGTTTTTCCCCTAATTCGTGAAAATTTAGGTAGGTTTCCTCAAAGTTTTGGGAAAAACCTCAAAGTGTTGTACGATTCTGTGGAAATTTCGATCGGAGTTTGTGGGCCATTTCATCAAAGTTTCCTACTACAGTTTTCCCAAAATTTACCCGAAATGGACAAAATTTTCCCTGAAACAGGGAGACTGGGATAGACCGGAAAGACCATTTCAGTCTCTCGTCGTTATACTCGTTGGAGCATATCCGCCCCATGCTTGAAACAAGGGCTCGCTGCTTCAAATGGTTGTGGACGGAATAGAAGAAGCTTTCACTTAGCGGGCTTCCGTCTCTAGTAGCAGTGGGTCACCAAAACCTCCAGACAGGAGCCCAGGTATATTAACGATAGTAGAGGAAAAAAAGAAATTGGTAAATCATAACAAGGTGTTATCCTTAGTCCTTAAGAATAGGTCAGGTTTTCCCTTAAAGGACTCCTGAGGAGTTACTTGGACTAGATCAGCTGGCAGCTAATTCCAGAATTTGATAACTCTTAAGGAGTAGAAATTGTGTTTACAGTCCGTTCTGCTATGTTGTATCTCCAATTTCTGGGTGTTACCCCTTAGGTTTGTATTGGGACTAAGCTTAAGTAGATGTTTAGGCGGATGTCCAGAAGTGTTAAGGATACTGTAAGCCATTAGAAGGTCACCTCTAAGACGCCTATACTCAAATAGGTAAAGGTTAAGTGATTGGAGGCGCTCTCTATAAGGTTTGAATTTGAGTCCCCGGATTGATTTCGTGGCTTGCCGTTGGGTACGCTTCAGAGTGTCCATATCCTTTTGGAGTGAGGGTGGAGATACTGTTTCCGTACTCTAAATGGGGATGAATAAAACTGTTGAAGATTATGTGGAAAGTTCTTCCGTCAAACTGGCCAAGAATGCGCTTCAATGTTATCAGTGCAAGGTTTGCTCGAAAGTCATTTCTGTCACAGTTAGCGTAGGACTTTAATTCGTAGGGTACTGGGACTCCTAAATCTTTTTCGACTCGGGATACTACTAGAGAGGAGTTTCTTAAGTTGTAACTGTAGTCTGTAACATGTCGTAGATGGACTACTTTACACTTTGAAGTGTTAAAGGTAAGTCCGTTATCGTCTGCCTAACTTTGAAGTCAAGTCAGATCCTCCTGGAGTGCCTGTATATCCTCTTGGCTGCGTGTCTCTCTCCAAATTTTCACATCATCAGCAAAAAGTAATGTGACGATACCTGTTGTGGAAGGTCATTTATATAAATCAAGAGGTTTTAGTACTGAGCCCTGGGGGACCCCACTAGGACATTCCATAGCCTGAGATAAAGCGAAGTTAGCCCTGACCCTAAAATATCGATTTTTCAGATTTGAAATGAGCCGATCAATTAGACGTGATCTGATATCCAATCGTTTGATCTTATTGATAAGACACATATGGTTGACCCTATCAAAAGCTTTTGAGAAATCAAGGTAAATGATATCAACCTTCCCCTTGCGATCAAGGATGTTTGTCCATCTGTCCACCTTAGTCAGCAGGTTGGTTATACAATAGTAACCCTTCGTGAAACCATGCTCTTGGGGTGAGAAGAAATCTAAGGACAGTAAGTAGTCATATATACCATCGCATATCAGGGACTCCATAATTTTTGAAGGTATAGAGAGAAGATCCACCAGTCGGTAGCTTGAAGGTTCGCTGCGTCGACCTACCTTGAAAATTGGTGTGATGTTTGCCAGCTTCCAAATTTCCGGTAGTTTTCCTCGGCTTAGCGAGTGTGAGAACATCACGCTATGCGGTGTTGCCAGGATTGAAGCTGCTTCTCTCAATATAGCAGAATAAACCATGTCTGGGCCAGAAGTGTCTTTTCTCAGGTGCTGTAGTTTCCGGAACATCAAGTCAGCGCTCAGGTTCACTTCAGAAAGTCCTATGCAGTTGCAGATGAAGCTGTCATCAGTATAGTTGGTGTCGGTCGGTTGAAATGTCCTAGAGTATTGTTTAGACAAAAGGTTAGCGGCGTTGCCGTCGTTATTGGTCAGGCCATTAGGACCTAGCAGCTGGGAAACTCCAGTTTTGGCTTGACGAAGAGAGGCTGCATAGCGGAGTAAGCTTTTCGGATCGGAGACAAATTTATCCGTAAGCTTTATCTGGTACTGGAGTCTATCTTCTCTTATAGCCTTCGTGCATATGTTCCTTATATGTTTGTATTGTCTGTACGCGCCGTTGTTGTCGGTTTGTTTGTATTCTGTCTAACACTGCCTTTTGCGGCTTAGCAAGCGGAGAGCGCGGTTCTTGATGATTGTAGGTTGCTTGTAGCTATTGGGGACCGTTTGAGGGACTGACTGCTTTGTAACACATAAGAGCGTGTGCAGTAAGAAGTCCCAATGAGCATCTACATCAAATTGAGGGTGAACATCCCAATCCACATGTTGTAGATAGTCCTGTAGAGCTGACACATTCAACCGTTTGGAATTCCAGCACCTATTGTTGGTGGGATATCTTAGCTTAGTTTTGCCAACAAAACTGAAGACTATAATGGTATGATCGCTTTTTCCCAGGGGAGCCAGGATTGAAAGGTTGTCAACTAGAAGTTCTTTGTTTGTAAATGCCCAGTCTAAGCGCGACGGTATCTGACTGTCTCTTCAACGGGTTGCCGACTTCACATTTTCGTGTAATCTCAGATCCTCATTGAGGTTGAAGAACCGAGCTTCAGTTGAGTTCTCACCTCCAATGTACGTATGTTCCACGAAATTGACTCTAGGGAGATTAAAGGCCCCTAGAATCAGGATATGAGTAAATCCGAGACGCGTAGAGCGGGATAGTCCTCCCAGCATACGACTGTTATACTCGATGTCAGCAGTGAGCTTCCCATAGATGACCCCGATTAGTCACCTTGAAGTAGTAGACAATCTTACAAAGCACCATACAGGTTCATCAAGATTTTTTAACTCATGGTTGTGAACTTGGTGTACCTCCAGGCAGGATCGTATGCATGCGGCTACTCCACCTCCAATCCCTGTTTTTCTGTCGTTGCGAAACAAAGACATCCCAGGTATTGCTAGTTGTTGGTCCGTAAACTGAGAAGATATCCAAGTTTCAGATATTCCTATCAGATGAGCCTTATTAGCATTGCTAAGTTCACGTAGCTCATCCATTTTATTTGGTAGACTCGCGGCGTTTGTGTATAAGTAATTTATGCTTTCAATTTGAAACGCGTGAGCTTCTTCCGGGTGCATATGGATTCCAGTTGGCAACCGACGTCTGTTGGCACGAAGTGCTTCCCGAGTTGCAGCCGCCATATGGGAGGATGGGAAACTATCGTCATTAGCCGGGGTCTAGAATCACCGTCCTTCTTGGCTAGTCTCGTCACATGTTGAGTTAGTATGTTTTTGAGCCTCAAAGACTGCTTGATGAATATCCATTCCTTAATATCAGAGTTTGCTTGACTAGGGTCCGTGTTTTCCGGTACACTTTGCACAATGATATTTCTTCTGCAAAAAACTTCCGAGATTCTTTAGGGATGTTCCGGATGAGACTGCGCTCAGAATTCGGTATGTTGGGCAGTATTCTTACTTTCCCATCGGATTTCAGTAAATGACTAGCTAGCAGCACATCCTCTGCGTCGGTAGCGTTAGCGAGTGTAACACGAAGTAGCATCGGGTGATTTTGATGCTTAGATTCCTTTCCCCGAGTGGGCCGTGTCACCGTCAAAGGCTCTATTCTAGGAAGTTCAAGCTTCTTGTTCAATTCTCCCCAGAGCATCCTGTCAATTTTGTCCTGTAAACTGAGGTCAGGGTTGTCTTTGAGGTTCATGATTATGAGAGAGTCATCACGAACCGTTATTGTTTTCCCAGGTTTTCCTGTGCGTTCAGGTTCAGCACCTTGTTGTTTGGAGGTCGAAGCACGTTTCTGATTCCTAGGCTCTTTGATGACCGGATGGACATTCCTGGGGGTAGACTGTGCGGGAAATCACCAGTTGATTTCCGTACAATACTTGGGATGTTCAGCTTAGATGGTGACGCCTGGTCCTTTTTAGCTTTGTTAACGTGGGTCCAATCACCTAAAGAGTTTTCGGGAACCACTGTTGCTTTCAAGGACCCTGAGCTGGGAGACCCGATTTTGCTGAGGGAGTCTATTACCGTCGAAGTTATGATAGTGCCGAGTTTCAGCATGTCATCACTAGTGCTAATGCATGCTTCATCGATAGTAGACCTGTCGACATCCCTATTCTTGTTTTCATTGCGCGTCCTTGTTTGTCTACTCGTTTTATGACTTTTTCCAAGTTTGCTGACAACTTATTCCGCAGACCTTTCAATAGGACAATGATGTTACTCAGCAAAACTACAGCATCCGTGTTGCACGTAACACATATCCACTTATGATCCGACTTATTGAGTCTGTTGTAAGCAGTTGCTGTGAGATCGGCGCACGCTTCATGGAACCAACTTTTGCAGTTATCGCACGGCATGCCAGATGTAACAACAAAACGGCATCCAGGTCGTTTGCATGAATTTTTAATGACTATATTTACGTAAACTGTATTATAGATGCTAGAGAAACCCTAAGACCGTTAAAAATACACTAAAAACGGGCAAAAATGGATAAAAGCGGATGTGATAAACTGAACTAGCCTTTACGTGAAAAACTGAGCAGTAAGCTGAGGCAAAACCACAGTTAGCTATTAAGTTGGGTGAAACTCGAAAAAAAAGTAATCTACAGAACATATAGCTTAGAATAGATTCTTTAGATCAGAAATGGTACTTTTGTTGCGTAAGAACACAGCAAAAGTTTGAGGAATCCAAATCACGTTAGGACTAAACTTCCCGTTTGAATCCCATATTCCGAATGGTGTCTCACGAAAGTCGGGTATAATACTCTGTAGATTTCTTCTTCCAAGTACTGAAACGACCTACAAATAGCCCATAATACCCTAAAGCCTTTGGCAACATTAGCCGCTGCTTATTATGACTCCTAAATTTTTATAGCCCATTACTTTGGGCAACACAACTCCACGTATTGTGTAGTGTTATGATTAATCGTAGTTATTTAGTTGCATCACCACAGAACTTACTTCTAGTGGCCACCCGCCCTTCCAACAATGAATTGAGATCATCCTGTATTACTATCCTGTCTGACATACTGTTTATGGGTCTCCAAATCTTTGTCATCGGCGAAGAGTAGGACGGTTGACTTTGTTACAGTTAGTAATTGATTTACATAAAATTAAAAAAAGAGGACCAATGATTGTACATTAGGGAGCAGAGACTTAGTAACTATCGTCCCGTTAGTCTAACCAGTACAGTTGTAAAACTAATGGATGGCTGTTATTAACTATGTGGAAAGGCATAATATTTTATCCAGGGAATAACGGTTTATTTAAAAGGCCTATCATGCTCGACAAATCTGCTCATTGTAAGAGAAGATTGGGCTGCAGCGAAAGATCGAAGTATTCCTGTAGAGTAAATGGAGCTCTCTCACCGTGTAACGGGGATTACACCCGAAACAGTAGTCTCTCTGTACTTATTTATTTAAACATATAAACATTGGTACGAGGCACCAAATAGATATGCCCCACATAAACCATACGATTTGTGTGAGGGCTGGGATACTATCCGCACACCCAAACCGAAGCAGGTGGTTTTCTTAGGGGACCACACCCGGAGCCTTTGACCTAAAGGTCTGATCCACAAGGTAGTGGAGCAACGTCTGGAGATGCAGTCCCATGTTAGCCGGTCACCAACGATTGGTTCATACGCCATTTGTTCCTTCAGGATCCTGGAGCCCATGTACACCATTGGTTTGAAATCAGGGTTTTCCAACTCCCCTAGGTAGACCCTCCGTGTCCCTTTCATTGGTATTGAAATACTAATTTCAACAGCCTAGTTTGATTTTCTTTCAAGTCTGCTTGGCTACCTAGTTGATAAACTTTCAGTAAGGCGGCCCCAGAGATATCTTCATACACTAGTTGGTTATTTAGACTTTTTATCAACTCAATGTCATGGTCAAAGCAGTTTCTAGGTTCAAAGCTTTCACTCTCCTTGACTCTCAAAGATGACTACCTTGTCACTATGATCAGCCTTTGGTTTCTCAACTACTGTTCAGGAGACTGTTTTTTTATCAATATTACGTCGTCTCTTATTCTTGATTTGTATCCATCCATCAGCTTTCACTAGAGTTACAATCACAGTTACGTTAAACATACTGTGAGATCCTCAGTGATTGTCGATAACTTAGGTGACCAGGTTGTTTTCTGTGCTGGAAACGGACCTAGCTTTACGGATTAGGTTGTCTAGGTGTCTCCTGACTGCTCCCACTTGGAGTACAGGGCACAGGAGAAACCTTTCCTGGATTGTTATTTTCTTATAGACCTCTTTGAAGTCGCTCCTTCCGCCTTTGGTGCATGTAGTTCAGTGGATTTTGGGCTTATTTGGGATGACTACACATCGGTTTGTGAATTGACAGAACTTTCTAATTTTAGTCTTCAAATCCAGTCTCTGAATTCTTGTTACAGCATTAAGCCTGCTACTCAAAGTTATTTTCGCTCCAGTTACATGCAGCTTTCTCCGTTTTCAATCAAGTAAGCCAAATTTCTTCTCATTGTGTAGCAATTTCTTTGTAATTTTGCGACAGATAACATCAACTTCAGCTCATAACAACAGTAACGCGTTTACAAATTTCATTCACTCGAGATATCATGAGGTCAAGTCCGCAAAACCGGAGCTATCAAATTATGATGTGATCAGAAAGTTAGCACAGTTGTACAAATCACTTCCAGTTGAAGAGGTAGAAAAGTTGAAATTAGAAGCGAAAGAACATCAATCTCATGTCAAAAAAGCGACCAAGGTTATATTTTTGACTGTTTATTCTCTTGACTTATCACTTGTTGATTTGTTTTCTGAAAGAACTTAATATTTTTCTTACCCTTGGTTTTAAGGATGTAAATGGTGACGTCGCTCTGTTCTTGTTGCTGGGAATAGTTGTTGGTGTTTGTAGTGTTGTTGAGATATATACTGTAAACTTAAAACAGTTTTCTTTCCTAGGAAAACTCATATAGCAAGTATGTTTACCGATAGTTAGTCATATTATCTCACAATCGCAATATGACTATACCAAACGCTTCGAATTTCATCGGTTAGTGAAACAACGTTGGTATGAAACAGTAGTAAGTATACCCCCGTGCACAGTATGTGAAGTTTTTATTTGAATTCTTGATATTTGTTTCTCAATGGGAATTTGGATCTAAGATATTCAGTGTCTCTCTAACATGAACATTAGATTCATCCTTTGAAATTACTGTGATATAATTAATACTTTTCAGAAATCAGAATAGTAAAGGCAAACTGAAACTTAAATGAATTCGCTCTTGCTATTAAATACCACATGTATCTTATCATATATAAAGTGTTTTTGCATTCCTTACTTATCCCAAAAACGTTAAACTTCAGGAGTTTGGTTTGGTATACTAATCTGATTACTAATTTGAACCATATAAAATACTGGGTAGTCTACTAGCGATTCTAGTGTAACTAAAATTGGTATTTAAACTAGCGGAATGTCTGTATTAGTTATCACTCTACGTTTTTCAGTAACTCATATTTCTCGTTTATTGTACATTCACATTTCAGTGTGACACTAAAATGTTTTTCAACTTCGTTGATAATCACTATTTTCTATTAGTAGCATGATGTATGAAGCTTTAAAAATATTATCTAGCATCGTTTCAATCAGTAGATTGATTTCTCTATCCATGGAGATTGAAAATAACTATATCACTAGTTAAAATCCAATCACGAACATGGTATTTTGTTTCTCAATTTCATTCAATACCTGTACACTGCTCTTTTTCATTACAATTTTCTTATGGAGTATTTTTATTGCTATATGTTATGAAATAATTTTTCACTGTGGCAATTTTAGTTTGCTTATCGTAATGGAATGCCAAAAAGTCCACCAAACTCTGGACTCAAAGTTTTCATGAGAGAAAAACTAAAGGATTCTAAGGTAAGTCACCGTTATTATTTAGATCAAAACAATTCCATCGAGATTAAAAATCCTGTGTATATTGTAACATTTAGGTTCTTGTCAATCAGTCAGTCAACTGCAACGTAGGACCAGACACATATATGCATCGGTCCAAGTCGCCACACCTCATCAGCACAACAAGATGAACACCAAATTCATCTTTTAATCTTGTAGTCTAAAAGCATGTATCTGAATTTGGAATTGAGTGGTAAAAGCCTTTATGATTGTATGAGTATAAAAAAATACGTTTTTACTGTTGGTCATTAGTAGCATGTTTTTATTTTGCTCTGGACATTTGAAATGAAATATACTATGTCGTGTATTGTAAGTGAAAGCGTTTCATTTAAGTTTCAACAAAATACGCTTTAGGTAACTCGTATGAACTCTATTAGTAGATCTACGTACTATATTTTGAATGTTTTCAGTTATTGTTTGCGGTAAATTCTGTAAACAATCATTCGTTTAATTCCTACTTCTTGGCTGCTTGCTTGAAGTTAAAGTTTATCAGGCTTATTATGAGTACATAATTTCCAGGTCACCGAGGCTTACGGCTTTTTTATCGATGTCGATTTGAAGACGAAGTAAATTTGAAGTATGTGAAAGACTATTTTAAATTTGCTTGAATTTGTAAGTCTGGGCCCCCAAATGCGCTGGTACGGCCGAGGTCGGAGAGGGTTTGCTCTCCCTCTCGAAATGCTTTCACATGGCCATGCGTATATAGCCACTGCCAGGAAAGTCCTACTCACTGCCTTGTGGCAGCGGTGTTGTCTACGAAATTGAGAGGATGAAAAGCGAATGTCTAATGCTTTAACCGGGTTGGTGGATATGGAGGATCCACCTAGGGGAGTTAAAAAACCCTGATTTCAAACCAATGGTGCACATGGGCTCTAGGATCCTGAAGGAAGAAATGACATATGAACCAGCCGTTGGTGACCCGCTACCATGGGACTGCATCTCCAGACGTTGTTCCACTACCTTGTGGATCAGACCTTTAGGTCAAAGGCTCCGGGTGTGGTCCCTTAAGAATATCACCTGTTTCGATCTGGGCACCCGGACAGTATCATAGCCCACACACAAAATCAAGTGACTTGTGTGGCGCATATGTACTTGGTTCTCCTTTGTACCGATATTTATGTATTCAAATAAATAAATAAATTAATTAATTAATTAAATAAATTAACTAATCAAATAAATAAATAAATACATAATAAGTTTGATGTTCCTATGCTCTCCAGTAAACGATGTTTGGTTGATTGAATGGTAAGGCTTTAATATTTGCGTAAATCGAACTGGTTATTCTGTTACTATTACAAGACAATTTCGGTTTTTTCCAGAAACCGAAACTATCGATAATCGAGATCAATCTATTGGGACAGTCCTCGGTTAATCTGACTAGAATTTTTTGAGCGTCAGTCTCAAAAATGAGCCAAAATTTACCTTTTGTTCATTTAGCTTCACCTTTTTGGTTTCCCACAGCCTTCTTAACTTCGCTGCATGTTTAGGACAGGGTGTGATTTTATCATCTTATTATGGTTTTGACTAGGGCGCTTATGTTTTTATGTACCTGTTCCAAGAAGCTCTCGGTAGTTCGTATTCGGTGATAGCTTTAGTAACCATCGCGTTTTCCTGCCTGGTGTAATTATTAAGACTAAGTAGCTTTTACTTGTCTCCTTATCTACCCATAGCCTTAACTAATTTACACTTATCCTAACTTTCTTCTCATCTCGAACTCTGCTAGCATACGTGTTCGGACCTAGATAAATTAGTACGATAATGCCGCAGTCTCTTCATCTTTGGGAAAATTCCGTCTTAAGTTATAACGTGTCTTTACTTCTGTTACAGTAGCAGGCTAAATATTTCAAGTGAAATCATGATAATATTCGTTTGACAACTTCTCCCATACATGTACACTTGACCTAGTGCTGTAAACGGTCTTAGGGAAACTTTTCAGCTGCCTGTGGATAATTACGTGATTGTAGTAGGTACTTCAAAAATGAGATACGTTTTATTTGAGTCCATTTTCAACTATGATTAATCTCAAATCTACTCATGCCTATCTCCGAATTGTTGGTTTTGGGTATATCCTTGTGAACCTTTCGAATAAAGAATACTGTCTAACATTACTGGTTTCCTGAGTATTACTAATTGGCTGAGGTTGTTCAACTTATTAACTACACTTCTCGCTTAGTGATTTAACGTTTCTTTCGCTAAGTTTTATCTAACTGATTTATGGTGTAATAATTAAAAGTTTATGCACCGATTTCTTAAATATTGTTTCCTATGCACGTAAATCTGTTAGTGAATACTGCCATATCAGTGTAATTTCTAAGTAACCAATTGTTCCCATATTAAATAATTGTTGGTTCGCATAAGAACAGAAGAAAATAGTGCATCTAATGTGTCCACCTGTGATCCTTATGACGACCAAATGCAACATTTATCACGGGAGATCGCTTTGTGACTTATTGTATAGTCATTCGTTTACTTTCTCGTCGACTGAGTTCTCGGGTATTGATCTCCTACCAGGAGGTCCACTTATCGACTTAGAATACGCAGATGACATAGTCCTGTTTGGTGAAGACGCTGACAAAATGCAGAGTCTTGTGGTAGCACTGAGCAACAATGCCAGGATGTTTGGAACGCACTTCTCTCCCTCTAAATGCAAGTTGTTGCTTCAGGACTGGTCTGCGTTAACACCTGAACTAAGGATAGGGAGTGAAGTAGTCGAACGCGTTGACAACTTCACTTATATTGGAAGTCTGATCAGCCCTAGTCTGAGCCATGTTGGTAGATGCAGACTACTTGGTTGGGGTCCGCGTGGTTTTCGTAACCAATGGTTGGAGACTCTTGGTGACATGGCTCAGAATCAATCACAATGGCGTCGGTGTATACACTCCCTGTCTTCCCTTAAACTAAGAGATTAAAATCGCTTCATATCTTTCTTTCTATGAACCAATTCTTTCTTCTTGTACTATATCTCTATATGCAATCTTTCTCTTATATATTACCACCTTCGACCTAACCACTGCTAGGAATCCGGTGTTCATCTTGTTGTGCTGATGCGGTATGGCAACCTGGACCGATGCACATATATGCCTGGTCCTACGTTGTGGCTGACTGACTGACATTCGTTTACTTGATGGGTATCAAGAGTCACTGTTCGAATGGTTTATTAACGACCAAGATGCTTCTCAACCTAATCACAATATGAATAAGTTTTTTTACAGTATCATTATGTGTACAAACTAGTGTAAATCGGCACCATCTAAATGACCACACATGTTTTTTTAGAATTCTGGTGGTAATAGCTTACTTATATTGATTTTTTAAAATTTTTTAGTTAACTTCTCCATTTCAACCAATCTCTGTGACTATTAGTGTTTAACTATTGTCAGATTTGTGTAGATGATTATCTATTTATGGTTATTTTTTTTATTTTTTCAGGGTACACCAGTGTCTCAAATGCGAAATGACTTTAAAGATACTGTAAAACAATGGATGTCGCTGCCTGAATCTGATCAACTGGTAAGTCGATCAACTGATACACCATGTTGATAATAGATAATACCATTTTTGCTGTTGGATTCAAAAATATCTGGGAGTATAGTTATTCACTTTTTTGTAAAAAAAAGTGTTTGTGAGTTTTTCTTGTAACACGCAGTCATCAGTTGATACCATGAGAATTCTCATAATCCTTTTCTTTAGTTTAAATAACTATAAAGCCTTCCTTGTCATAGCAGACAATTAAGTTAATGCATGAAGTATTTTTCATCGTTATTCTGTATTTGAAATGGTAATGTTCTAGTAATGTTTGTTAAAGTTGTTTTGACCAGTTCATTGACTAAGCATTTGTTTTGTCTCTAACATTAAATACTTTTATCAGTGTCTATGCGCACTCTTATTAACCTCCGATAGACTTCTTATTGTTTGGGGGTGTAGCATTATGAATTGAATCCGAAAGTAGCATAATAAATATTGAATTTTTCGGGGAAGTCTTAAGTGATTTCTTGTAGCAGTATGTGTCATTGAAACGATTACCAAAGAAGTACATAAACCAGCTGATTGCTTTTTATACAAACCACTATCCGTCAAGTCAGAATTTAAGGCAAACTCCCATTTGAATTGGCTACATCAAGTGGCGCTCGCTAATTCTGCCCACTTCCCATATTTTCAGTTGATTTTATCATTGTGTGGTGTATGCTACTTATGCTGACAGACATAAGTAGTATGTGCACCAATCGAAATCGGAATGCCTGGCAGCAGAAGATTGAAATGAAGAGAACAAGAAGTAAATCACTACAACAGATGTGCTCATAAAGATAATATTTTCTCCTAATTTCCTGAATTCACCTTCTACCTATAGCGATGTTGATCGACTTGAAATACATGGCTAAGGTAGCTATGTCTGGCCTAGTCACTAACCAGGTACGAAGTCTTCTAATCGCCCATCGATATCCAAAACATTGTTTCTGTTTTGTTTTGCTTCCTTTTTGTAATTTGACCATAGGGAGTGAAATAGTTTAGTCATATCAAAACTCCAATTATTTCGGGAATGACCAGTTTTAGAGGATCATCGTGTAGCAAAATCTTGATATATACCAAAGTGTGTTCAGGTTTGGTACGGACAATATATCCACCTACTTATCAAAAGGCGAGTATACAGCCCACTAATCCGTTCTCTATTTTATAGCTATGAAACTTGGCTTCTGGAAGTTTAGGATATGTGTAAGTCTCAAGTATTCGATCTTACGTGTCTTCGAAGCATTGCTCACAGCCAGTAAAATCATCGAGCGAATGATGTAGAAGATAGGCTTAAGTTTCTAGATAAAGGTGTAAAAGTTGGTTAATGTGTTTGTGAATCTTCATTTGTTGAGGTTGTTATGATCTGTGTTAGAGATACCTAGCTACTCGCTACAGTTATGTATAATGATAGTTTGCATAGAAACAAGAAAGGCTTACTGTGAGTAAACTAACATATACCATTACTTAATATTGTTGGTGATCTTATTCTGTCAATCAGTCATAAGCAGCGTACAGCCTTGCACAAATGTGCATCGACTGTTTCCAAGTCACATCAACATAGCGAGATGAGATTATTATTTTGAATACCAAAGTATTAGTGATAGTAAAAAAGATTAGGCATTAAAAATAAGGTTTAAGAAAAAGAATGGATTAGCAGAATAAATTGTATAAATAATTTTGAAACTCATGATCCAAAGGACCAAAAAAGTATGAATTCAAGTTCATGCGCTGCTGTTGCTTACTCTGTAAATTTTCATCCGACATCAACCACTGATCACGGTTATCGCGCTTAAATTATTCACGTTGTCTTCACCTATCTACATGTCTCAATCCAACGGTCAGGGATTTTATATATTGATGCAGTATCTCGATTTCCCTCTTAGCTTACTTCCAACCCAGTTCCTGCTCCAGTTAACATTATCTGTCTATGTAGGGGATTGTCGAGCATACGCAGTACGACCAACCACCTCAGTTAATACAGGTTCGTAACCTTATCAATTAACTTGGGATCTTTGACTACTAACCCGCACTTAACCTCAATATTGTTAACTTTGTTCCACCAGCATACATAAATAATCCCTCAAAGATTCCTATAATCAAGTACCAGTGATCCACTAATATATCTCACTATAATAGACCATGTTTCATAACCCTAAAGTAAAACAGAAAACTACTGTTCAGTATAGTTTCCCCTTCGTTGTCAGACAGATGCCCCGCCTACATCAGAGTTTATTTAATTTGGCACTATCAAACGAACTTCCTGATTCCTTGTCGGGGTTTCGTCAATCGCTAACCTGACAAAGTTGATGAAACTATCAAGATTTGTTGATAATCTACTGTCATAAATGTACGGTGTGAATTCGCTTGTTTAGTATACTGAACATTCAACTAAGAATAGTATCTATTTTGCTTGTTTTTTATAAGTCAGGATATTAGATTGACAGTGTGTATGTAGTTCTTTAATTTAATTTTTTATGGTTCGAATCATCCCATTGTTGATATTTTCAACTGGATTCCGATCAGTCTTAGCTGGTATATGTTCCTTTTGTGCGAATTGTTCTGATATTGGCATTATAAGATTTTATAGAATAAATGAAATGTAACTGGCAGAGGGATCTGGGACACTAAATGGTAGATACATCTATTTGACGAGTCCAAACTGGGATGAAATGCATGTCCTAGATTTTGGTACTAGTCATGTTCCATCAAGTTAATCTTATACATATACATGTATCGTTTTAAATATTCCATACTGTTATATTTATTCAATTTTTAGGAGTATAATAACATTGCAAAAGATCTAAAAAATGATTATGAAACTAAACTTAAAGAATGGGCTACAAAAAATAATATTCAATATACAAAACGTATATCAATACTGGCTGATAGATTCTATAGAGCATATTACCCAAAATAAAGAATCCATTAATTATTAAATGAAGACAGAGATGAATGAGATTACTGCAAAATGTAATACTTTTACTACTTCCACTGGTGTTGTTTTCTTTGTGGTTTTAAATTCTGAAAAGCCGATAAACCAACCAATGGTAGTAATCAGTTTTTGTGCGAATTATTATCGTCATTTATATATTTGTTTATTGAATCTTTTAGTAATGTGTAGCCTATTTCTTGTTACTACTCATCTATTTCAAGAATATTTTTTTCTCTCGTTTTTTTTTCGCATCGTTACTCGTTAGATTGTTTTCTTTTTCTGTTTTTGTTAAGCTGCTAAATGATGTTAAAAATTTTTCTGTATTCATCTGTCATAAATGTGTAATCACTAATTATTGGTTTGCTCGTTAGTAGTAGTTGTGTTCGATTACTAACTCAGTTTTGGAGGATTCGATGTGAATAGGCTTACATCATTTATTTGTTGTACTAGACTTCTAGATTAAGGCTTGTAACATTTACAGGTTATAGTATAGAGAGTATAGATACCAATTATTTCAGAATACAATAGATAGCTAATTATTCATATTATTTATTTATTTAAACATATAAACATCAGTTTAAGAGGTTACCAACATATGTATGCGCCACACAATAAAGATGAGGTTTTTAAAAGATAGATTGTTAATAATTATAATATTAATGGGAGAAGCAGTTTAGTTAAGAAAAGTACAACCAGAAAGGATTCTTTCAGTTGAAGAAGTTTCTTTCACTTATATGAAAGAAAAATACGGTAGGTCTGACATTGGCTTCTATTCTGAGCCATATGTGATAACGTCTCTAGCCACTATGTAGCACCATCTCTCGGACCCCAACCAGGGAGTTGTGAAGGACCGAGAGAAGCCAGTCCTTTGCAGCTTTCTTTCATACTACGACACCATGTCATATACTGACCACCTCTCCGCTTTCTCCAACCAGTCTCAGAGTCGGGAAATAATGCACGACGTGGAATTCTCTGGGACGACATTCGGAGAACATGTCCAAGCCACTGAAGTTGGTGTTTCAAGATGGTGACACCAATTGCATTATCGTCTCTGTACCCGAACACACGATGCCGAATCTCTGCATTACTAACGTGGTGTTGCCACTGGATGTCAGCAATCCTTCGGAGACAGCGATGATGGAACACAGAAAGTCGTCTAACGTCCTCAACTCGGAGAGACCAGGTTTCACAAACAGAGCAAGACTGCTCTCACCGACGCGTCGTAAATCCGACCTTTTACGGCCAGACTAACATCACGAAGACGCCAAAGGTGGCCCAGATTGGGATAAACCGCTCTGGCTTTCACTATTCCTGCATTGATTTCATCACTCACACCCCCACCAGCACTTATGCAGCTACCTAGATACACGAACTCCTCGACTACTTCTATCTGCTCATCATCCAGGGTGAGTACAGGATTAGAATCCTGTCAGTCTTGTAAAAGTACTTTGCACTTCGAAGGTGCAAAGCACATACCATACCTACGGACACTGATTGCCAACTGATTAAGTGCGGATTGCATGGCTTGGGCATTATCGCACAGTAAGACAATATCGTCCGCATACTCAAGGTCGAGAAGTCTTTCTCCAGGCAACAGATCCACACCACTATTACTTACATCTATCAGAGCTGTTTCTAGAATGTCATCGATGACAAAGTTGAAGAGGAATGGTGAGATTGAGAAACCCTGCCTAACCCCACTGCTCTAATGGAACAATGGAGAGAGGTGGTTGTATGCCCTCACTCTGCCTGAGGTGTTTGTATATAGGGCCTTTAGGATGTTAATAAACTTCTCAGGCACACCCTTCTTCAATAGACAATCCCAGAGAACAGTCCTGTCCAACGAATCGAAGGCAGCCCTGATGTCAAGAAACACTACGATTGTTGGCCTTTGATAAGTATGGCGATGTTCTAACATTTGGCGGAGGGTGAAGATATGATCAATACATCCTCGACCAGAACGAAACCCAGCCTGCTCCTCGCGAGTCAATCTTTCTCGGGTTTTGAACAACCTACGAAGTATCATGGAGGCCAATAGCTTGGACTCAATCGGAAGTAGACTTATCCCCCGATAGTTGTTACAGGAACGACGTGAACCCTTTTTAAAGATAGGGACAACTATCGACTCATTCCATGACGTTGGTACACTCTCTAGTTCCCAAACCTCTGTAAACAACGTCGTCAATTCCTTAGTCAGAAAGTCACCACTATCTTTAAAAAGAGCCGGAGGTAAGTCGTCTGGGCCAGGTGATTTGTAACGCTTCAAGAGTTGGAGTTCCTTGCGGACTTCCTCCTCGTTTGGTGGATCAGTCGTCACCGGCCATGGAGGGCAGGACAGTTTGACCGATGTTGCCGGAGCAGCAAGCCAGTTGAACTGCCCTTCGAAAAATTCTGCCCATCGTCCAAGACGTCGATGGATGTTAGTGATTGGCATCCCATCATCCTCGCAGATTGTTTCAGTCACATCAGACTTCTTGCTGCCAGGTGCTCGGATGAGTTGGAAGAGCTTCCGGTAGTTACCAGATGCAGCTGCTGCTTCCAGCTCATTAGCACGCTCCGACCACCAGGCTTCTCGGTCCTTACGCAAGCTTTGCCCAATTTGATTGCGTAACTTCCTTCGTTTGTGGTCAAACTCACGGTCACCCGGAGTAGACCGACGGGCTCCAATGAGCTGTATAGAGCCTGAAGAAACCCAGTGCTTATAAACGGGACGTTTCGCAAACTTCTGTACGACTCCGACCAACAGATATCAGTTCTGTTCAGCTTTCTTTCATTCCACAACATGTCATACATCAAACACCTCTTCGCTTTTTTCAACCAGTTCCAGTGTCGGAAAATAATGCTCGATGTGAAATTCCCTGGGACGATATTCGTAGTGCAAGTACAAGTAATCAAATTCGATATTTTAAGATGGTGAATACAATTGGATTGTCAGTTTGCCCTAACCTATTCATTACCAACATGGTGTTGTCACTGAATGTCATCAATCCTAGGAAGACCACGACAATCAAGCACAGAGTTCCTGAACATCCTCGAATTGGAGAAGCAAGGTTTCACAAGTATAGAGTAAAACTGCTCCCACTATCGAATTGTAGACCCGACCTTTCACAACTAGACCAAGATCATGAGGGTGCCAAATATGGTCCAGATTGCTATAAGCTGTTCTGACTTTCAATGTACGTGAATTGGTCTCATCACTTATGTCGCCACCCGCACTTACACAGCTACCTAGATAAACGAATTTCTCAACTACTATCTGTTTACTAGCCAGAGAGTTCAGGTTCAGGGGCGTGTCAGTTTTTCAAAAGTACTTTGTACATAGAAGGTTGAAAGCCGTACCTACGGACCCTGATCCTCAATTGTTTGGTTGTGGGTTGCATGACATGAATATCATTACACAGTAAGGTATCATCCGCATACTCATGGTCGACAGACAGTCTCATAGCAGTTATGCACTTACTACGATTAATAAATTATCATATGTTGGAGCTTTATATTTTACTCAGGTTTTAAAATATTTTATAAATCAAAACCACAAGGGATTTATGATATTTTACGGTTTTAATTTTACGTTAATGAAATGGGAAATCCATCAGGTTATTACACTTTGGAGAAATAGTTGATGAAGATGAGACTTTTATGATTCGTAATGTAAGTGATATCACATCATAATGAGGAGATCTTTAACGTAATTCATAATAGGAAACTTCAATATTATAAGCATAACTGAATTTTAGCAAACCTGTACACCAACAATAATAAATTGTTTGAATCAACGAAATAAAAAAATCGTGTGGTCTAGTGGTTAAGCGCTCGCGTGCGAGACTGATAGGTCCTGGGTTCGAATCTCGCGAGGCGGGACCGTGGATGTGCACTGCTGAGTAGTCCCACAATAGGACGAAACAGCCGTCCAGACTTTCCATAGTGATCTAGCTTCAATTGACTCATGATTTCAACCATTGAAATTACTAGAGTATCTACAGAAACCCTTCTGATATGAATAAAATAGCTAACGACGATGTTAAAAATAAAAGTGATCAATAAAATGTTTAACCTAATTTCAACTGAATTTGTTAGGTAACTTTGTTATTGAATAAGAATAAAGTGAATTCAACGAAGGAAATTCTGTTCCTTTTCGACAAAATCATTTACTTAAGCTGTACATTCGTATTTATAGTTTTATGAAAAATATATATCTATAGAAGAACAGAAAAGATTACATCATAAAATGGATTCGAGACTCTTAATATCACATAAGGTTGCGTAATAATCTGGGGGTTATAGAAGGATGAAAATAATTAACGGGTCAGATAATTGTCCAGTTGACAGATCTGAAGAAAGGACAACAAACATAAAGGTCATAATAATAGAAATTGAATAATAATCAAGAAAACTTGTTTAAGGGTAGTAATAATAATAACAACTGATTAGAGTCTACAATTACATAACACTAATTAAAAAAAACCAATAATAAATAAAAACGGAGAAATAAAGTAAAAAAACACCGAAACATACCACTAAAGGGAATTAGGGCCAAGGAAGGATGAGAGATTGGACGAATCGTTTTTCCATGCAAAGTTCAGGTTTGAGTTCGTGGATTGCCAACGTCTCAGCAGTGCATAAAATATTGATTCGACGTTCCTTCCATCCGATTTCTTTGACTGTGTAGATTGTTTTAAAAAAGAAAACTCCATTGGAGCGATGTGTCCGCAGTTGATTAAATGCTCCTATATTGAAATAGTAATTGTTTTACATTCTCGTTTTAAAAGCCATGCCGGATAATGTTCTGAGATGCGTTTAGAGAGTGGTCGCTTTGTGTGGTCAGTGTAACCTATCCCATATGAGTAAGTAAATTTATAGATACACA